CACACACACACACACACACACACACACACACACACACACACAAATCTTTAAAGTGTATGTAGCTACACCAATATAAATTGTTTTTGTTTTCTTTTTGTTGAGTCTATTGGTACAATCTAGATCTACAATATAGTTACATTCATTACTGGAATCCTGTACCTTAACATGACAGGTCTTGGTTCTCATTTTTTCCTCTTGTCCCTGCCCTCCCTTCACCCCCCCCTTCCCATTAACAAACTCTTTATTTCCATTTTTTCATTTTCTCATATTTTTTTCTTTTGAGAAGGCTTTCAATGACCATTAGTTGAGATTTGTTATACCTACTGTATTACTTTGTTATTCCTGAGACACAATGTCCAAAGTTCACAATTTAACAGAGGAAATTTTTTTTGGCTGAAAGTTTCTAGAGGTCTGGCTCTAAGTCAGGGTGAAATGGCAAAGGGCATGGCAGATGACAAACAACTCATGGCATGGTGACAGGAAGCACAGAGAACAATCAAGAGAGGAAGGAGGGAGACATACCCTTGAAAGCCACACCCCTAGTGAACCATCTTTTCCTCCCAGACTTTGCCTCACAAAATTGCATCCAGCTATAAACTCATCAGAGGATTAATCTATTGATGAGTAGCATACACCCATGATCCAATTAGCTCTGAAAAACCCCACCTATGCTCACATGAGACTTTGGGGATACATTTAGATACATAACATCTACAAAGTCTAAATTAAAATATATACTATTGTAAATAAATACTATTTGTTTTGACCTACCATTTTAGAAGAATGAAGATGCTCCTTCTTGAAAGGTAATTTATCAATAATGAAACAAAGAGCAAATGTGCTGCAACACTGATTGAACTAAACAGGAAAGCTACTGTTGTAAAGAACATCTTATGGAGATGTGAGTTTAACTAATGCTATGAATAATTCTCAACTTTTAAAATGCTTCTGGGGAATCCTGCTAGAAAAATGTTGAACTAGAGAATTTCTAGGAAGTATTTTGAAGAAAAATACAGCATAATGGGGAAGAACATATTTCATTCAACTACTGGATAGTGAAATATTGACTGTCATTTTTAATGAATGACTTATATGGAGATGTACACAATTAATTTCATACACTTCATAGCATGCCCATAGAAAGCTTGGATACTAAAGTAGCACTCAGGTGATTGCTTTGGAAGTGATGTTTTGATTATCAAACACTAATTGAGTGAAATCACATTTTCCCAAATTTTGACAACACTGGGCTCTAAATATATAGCAAATCCTCTCAATGATAGTAGATGGTTAAACATTTTAAAATGCTAAATTTAACTTGATAAATTCATTTTTCTCTGGTCAAAGACCTATTCATGATTTGGTAAACTGCCCAGAGGTAGAAGAAAAACAATATAAAGTTAAGAAACCTAGCAGTAAGCAATGTGCATTTTACAACCTCATTACCCTAAAATCAAGTTTATACTGTTAAATTAGTAGATTATTAAGCTGACCATACTTTATACTACATTATGTATATAAATTGATTTTTATTATTGCCAGAATTGCTCATCTTTGTAGCAATTGCTATTAACCCCATGAACTACCTACTTACTTGAACATAGTTATATTATTTTAGGGACTATGTTAAAGTATTCAAAAATCTCTAAAAATTAATGGCAAATTTAAAATAAACATTTTTATAATGTGCACAGTAATTCATGTAATAACTTATTGTCATGAAAAATGTGATATAAAAGACATAAGTGATTCTAATATCTATAGCTGATTATTAAATCTCTGCTTCATGCCCTATATCAATGTGGAATATTTTCTGAATCAAATTTAAAGTTATCTTTAGGGAAATGATTAGTTCTACTAGAATATGTTATGGGCACTTGAAAAATACTGTGTGAAGGGGAACATAATGTCAAAAGATGATAGGGATTTTGATCAATGCTTTACTTCTAATTTTAAGGGGAAATTTATGTTTCATTAATTGAATAAATTTTTTCAATAAAATTATGCACACACACACACACACACACACACACTAACACATTCATTATTAGCATTAGCAAAGTATTATATCTATATAAGGTGTCCACATCAAAAACTGGATATTTGTATTAGTTAATTATGAATGACTTTTGCCAATCTGCATTCCAATCTTAGACAAAAAACATGGGAGAAAATTGTTACATGTGGGTATAAATTTTAATGTGTGTTTTAGACAACTGGAGCTCTAGTACAGAAAGACTGATTATTTAGGGAAGCATTTTTCTAATTTCATTATAAGCTATTAGGAAATTTAAAATAGTAAAGTAAAAATTTTCTATGCTATTTGATAAAATGGATAAGACGTGATAAAAATTAGCATTATCTAGAGTTAAGCAAGTTAAAACTATTTGAAAATTCAGTATATGAATGGAGCATAAACGTTGAGATTATTGTATAATGAACTATAATGACTGTTGTACAGTTGTCATGTTAAAGCAACATTTAATAACCTAATATATTAATCAATGGATTTGATTATCACAAATGTTTTTATCTCCTGAGTTTTATACTATTTTATAATATTGTGGCACATGAACAAATATTTTTGACTATACATTTTTAGTCATTTCTATTTAAAAGGTCATTAGTCACTTAATAAATGTCCATGCTTCCATGAGCAACTCAGATTCAGTTTGGCTTAGGCTTGTCTTTGAGTTGGAAAGAGCTGATTAGTTGGTTGTGAATAAAAGTTTTTCTTTTTTCTTTGATTTACATAGTTGTTGAATGTTGTTCCACAAAAATACTGGTTCTGGTTTCATATTAATTAATTTCTAAAATACTTCATGAACAGTAAAAGTGTTTTGTTTGTTTGTTTTGAGGGGTGGAGTCATCTACCATTCAACCCAGGGCCTTTCCAATGAGCTATATTTTCAGCCCCATGTTTTTATTTTTATTTTGAATTTGAATTTTACTACTTTGTTAAATTGCTCAGACTGGGCTCAAACCTATGATACTCTTGACTCAACCTACCAGAGTGCTGAGATTGCAGGCATTTTAAAGAGCGCAGGGAAGAAACATTTTTGACCCTGGCTTAGTGCTCTGAAATTAGGAAACATTTTTGTTGTTGTTGTTTTGATTTTGCTCTGCTTTGTTTTGAATAGTAGTGATTACTTGATGATTAACTCTACCTGAGCACTCTTCACATTACAGGGCTCTTTAGCACCAAAAAGGTCTTCAGTTTGAGAGGTAACTATAAATTAGTGGAAATGCCATTGAACTCTTAGTCGGCTTGCCTTTCAAACCTGGCTCTTCAGTAAACTGTGTGTGTGAGATCATGGACAACTCATAAAACTCCACTGAGTCACAGTATGCTTTTTGAGAATGGAAAGTAAGTTTAGGTGATATCTAAAGTCCATTGTAATATTGATGTTCAGGGATTCAAAATGTGATCTTTGTTTTCATTCATATGTACCAATAAATTCAATTTTTAAAAAAAGAGTAGCTGTTAAAAAGAGCTGACCAGCAACATTTAAATGTAGCACTTTGTTTTGACTGACTTTTCAATTAGAAACAATGATTAATTCACTTGAAAATATATTCTTAAAAAGAAAATATGTTACAATAAAATATAAAATAATAAAATACCTGGGTCAAGTTCAATTTATATTTTATGTACATACATGTATTAAAGAGTTTTACTGTGTCACAAGACATGCTGAAATCTTGAAAGCTAAAGAAACTGAAAAGAGAAAAAGTCAGAGACAGAAAGAAAGGGCAAGGATATTTTCCCTCCAGGAGATTTGTAGAATGAATGAAATTACGTCTTTAGTTTCTTTTTTATATATCATAATTAATCATTTGTTTGAGTTTTTCTTTTTTTCTGAAAGTCACAATCAAACCTTTCAAAACTAAATGAAGACTACTGTAGACTTAAAGATGGAAAACTGATCAATGGATGTGTTTCACTTATTAATTTGTTATTAAGTGTACAACAACCCTGATATAAATTAAATCTAATTTTTGCCAGCTTTTATTATCATTATTATCATTATTATTGGTACCAGGGATCGAACTCGGATCCTTGCACTTGTGAGGCAGGCAGCAGAACCACTGAGCTAAATCCCTGACCCTTATGATTATTAATTTGTTGGCACACTGAAACATTTTAATCTATGTGCACATTCCACATAATATAATGAAATATTTTGTTTATTCTCTCAGATGGGGTAAGCAGAAGTGACAGCTAAATACTGCCATAAAAAGACAATATTTATCATGTACTGAAAATATCTGAAAGAAGATTACACATTAAGACAGAACATGATACAAAAATAGTCATTTTAAGAACCTCCCTTGTTGACTACATTTTTGTCAAAAGGAAAAAGAAAGTTATGAGCACTGAAATCTTATAAAAACATAGGAAAAACCATGAAAGGAATTTTTGTTTGGATTAATAATTAGAAAAAAATAACAACCCTGTTTGAATAATAATGTCCGCTAAACAAACAGACCTAGTAAAACCAGTAAATAAAATACACCATTTAGCTTATGAAATTGTAGGGTAACTTAGACCTTTTATGTGTAATACTACCAT